ACCCGAAGTTTTCTTTCTTCGGGCAAAGAGTAGGTGTGGAAACCTATCTTGTTTTCGCGCAAGTACTTAGTTACGCGACGGAAGTCGTCCGTAGTGTCAAGGTATACGCGGATACCCATATGCGTGTTTTTCGACCGGGGGTCGAGGATATTGTGGCGTTCAAACCACGAACAAATTTGGTGCCACTTAGCCTTCTCCTGAATGATGATGGGTGGAGGAGGCTTTATTTTTCGCTCGGAGGCGAATTCGGGCATCGGTTTAGCCGCCGCGGCCGCCTTTTTAGCGGGCGTCGCGGTGGGACGGATCGTTGAGGCGGCTTCGCATTCGGGGTCGCTGTCGGCAGCGGGGCGTTTTTTGCCCTTTTTACGCGATTTAACGACGGTGAAGCCGTCGGCGTTCGCGTTTTCAGCGGGGGTCATTTCGACCTCCATGTCCGATCCGCCGTCCGATTGTGAGTCGGGTACGACGGAGCGAAAAGAGGTCGGGTTTGGTTGCGCGGAAGGCGCTACGGGCGAGTTCGCGTTAGCGGATGCCGACGCGACGGGAGCTTCTAAGGTAAGAACTCGCGTCGCGAGGGAGTGCGACGGGGTAACGGGCGCAGACGGTGCGGGCAATGGCGGCGACGCGAGTTCAGCTAATTGCCTATGCTCGGCTTCATAAGCGAGAAAACGTTCCCACATAGCGGGGCATTCTTTGCGTACGAACTCCTCGAAAAGGGAGCCCATCGCGACGTAAGTGCCTTTGGGGCTGTAGCCCCGCCGGCGTGTGTGAGCTAAATAAGCCTCCCCACCTTGCGGCAGGGAGGAGTGTGCCTAGAAATAACAACAAATTTGTCTGCGCTTTAGGTGCGCTAGGATGGGTACCTAGCTGTCGCCTATTGCAAAAAGCACACAGTTAATAAATGAAACAATGCCGCCTCTGAGGCGAGCAGTGTGTGTAGGATTCTACTTACAAACAGGAACCTGCCTACGAGCACAACACTACACTAAACTACTGCACTATTTGCACAAGATTGAAATTGCAACCGAGGTTGCGAGTGGCGTCTAATTCGGGTGGCATGTGCCCTCCGTCTTAGAGAGACGTTCGTTCCGTACGAGAGCACGAAGCGGAATGTGTATATGCCCATGGGCAGCGGAAATCGCTTAACTTCAGGTGAATAGCCTGCCCGCTTGGCTACTTTTCAAAAAACAAACAGTTAACGGATTTCCTTATTGCGATATATGACGCAGGGTTCACCATACCACCTTAACCGTCACCAGTTGCCCTTGAACTTATTATTTATTACGTTCATTTACATGGATAGATACTTAATAAAGTTTGTCTTCATTTAATAGTTCTTTACAACGAAAGTCTAAACGAAGGTAAACTTCAAAGTCGGATATAAATCACTGTTTCATTATTACTGTGTGCGAACCTAATAATTGAACTTTTAGACCCATTTCGATCAGAAGAGCGAATAACGCCTTAGAATTAGACATAAGTGCCGTTTAACTGTTTATTTAAAACTCAACTGGTTAAAGACTCAAATGAAGAAAGTTTTACTTGAACAAAATAAGGCATAAAAATAAACTCGGTTTGCGTAACTTTTTTTTCTCTAGTATCCCACCGAAAAAAAATGGGCGTTTTGTGAAATATTACGTTTTGTTGAATACATACATATCGCGTAAGTTGGGGTATTCCTGTAGTTATTTAACGTTTCGATTGCAATTTAAAACTAGATATTACAACCATATAATAAATAATGTAACGCATTATTTATTATATTATGGTTGTATTAGTTGACAATATGCGAAAATTTATACTTCTTGGTAGATAGCACACCAAAATTGGTCGTCTATACAGGACAGAAGTGTGAATAAGACTACGGATCACGATAAAAAAAATATGACATGTAGAAACGTTTTTACGATACACAAATACGTAAAAAAAGGTGTATTTAATAGTTAGTATCGTTTTTTCAAACACCTAACAATAAAAATATTTGACTTTTTAAATGTGTATATTCGTGTAGAAGATTAGAATCGTAGCAATCTTTGTTCATGACATCGTTATCTTTACGTTTAATGTTCTCTTACTTATTCGTGACTTATAAATATGTCAAGATGAAAATATGTGCATTCGCAAACTACCGCGACGACAATTTAATATATATTTTTATAAATTATTATGTGTTTATTAGGTTCTTACCTAAATTAATGCAATCTTCTCAAACAATTTAAAGAAACTAATATACTTTTAATTGTGGTAGGGCCACGCAGCAGCCTCGGCTGTTGCACGAATGGGTAGGCTCGTCCGGGTCAGTGAAGTGGAAGTGTAATTACATTCGCGTTTCGTCTGGTGAGTGAGGAAGCCGGATCCCAATTCAAAAGGTTGTCAACGCATCTGCAACCCTTGGGTGTAGCAGATGTCCATAGGCGGCGGTATTCACTTAACATCAGGTGAACCGCCTGCTCGCTCAGCAAGATTTCACATTAAAAAAACTTCAATCAGACTGGATACCCTAACATTGGATGGATGCTAATGCATTCATGTTTCTGTCAGGAACAATCACCAGCAAATTTTATATTGACGAACTAGGAATAAATAAGAACATAATAAAATTAAAAATATCATTTTATTTATGCACGAATACAGTAGTCGATAAGTGCATACGTAAAATGGTTGCAGCGGAATTTTGGTACATTACTAGCAACTATCACCTCGCCCCGGCGTTGCTTAGGTGAAAATTATTTTTTCTCAATAATTATTCTTAATTTCGTAAGTTTGAATTGATTCCTGAAGTAAGAATGTATAATTTTTTTTTATTTTAAATCATATTAATTTAAAAAAGGTCAAGTATATTTCAGTGATTTTGATCAAATTTTAAGTTATAAATGATTACTGTGAGTTATCGACACAAGCTGACGTACGTTGTGCTGAGGAACAACTCATTCGTAAATTATTTTGTACATCTTTAACTTTTGACGCAGCCCACGTCGCCGTAGTGGAAACTATTATGAGAGGCAAGACTTCAAAATACGCGACGATAATATACGTACATAGGTACATGTTGATTTCTATATACGTACTATGTTATAATAAATATACTTAACAGCCTTGTGGAATAAAACGCGACGGTTAATTTTACGCAGCGTGGAATAGGTAACAAACGTTTCCAACTGAAATATTTTTATTATAAAATTACGTTCGTTAGACCTTGGCGGGTTGGAATAACGAACACTTGATTTTAATTCCGCCATTCACAATACAGAAATCACACTCACTTTTATTCTGAAGCATTGGATCGGAATCAACGTTTGGAGTACCTACTTGCGATCTAAGGAACCTAATTAAGGTGATCGAGTATCGAGGTCAAGCTAGCGATTTGGATTATACTGTACATCTTTCTTTACCATATATTTTAGGTTCTTTTTAAATAGTTTTTTTTTAAATTTAGTTCCTGCATGATTATATACTCCTACTATAGAAGGTAACGTAGTCGCTTCATTTAAATTTAAAAAAATAGTGCCTAAAGTCATCACAAACCGCATTTCATGTTGTTACTTCGTATTCACGAAGTATCGTAATAACGAGTTGTCTAGAGTAATGTCGATTCAATGAAATTAGATGTGGATCCGGGTCATTAAGATATGTTCGCAATTGACAAATGCATTATCCTTAATGTGCGATTTGTCATGTTGGTTTTTATTTTTTAAAGCGAGTTTTAAAGACATTTAACAACTTTTAAAAATTACGTTGTAAATAAATACAAAATGAAAGTTAGGGATTTATGAATTTGTGTATAAACTGTAAACGTTTAGGCAAGTAATAGTTAACTAAAGTTATATTAAAGTATAAATTCCATTAAAATAAGACTGTATAGATACGATGGTATATTAAGGAAAAAATATAGTATTTGTAAAGGAGCGTTTGCCACTTTTTTTAAACATTGCCCTCACTGTAGGATAAGATTTACCTGTGTGACGTCTTACATACATAATTTCACGTGGACAAACACCCAGATTGAAAACAATTACTGTGGGTCATACAAATAATTGTCCCGGGTGGGAATCGAACACACGACCCCCGGCGCCGAAGGTAATGCCAACTGGGCCACGGAGTGCCATGTTATATAGTACAATAATAATTATGAAGATTTAAAAAAAAAAACTAATTAACGCATTACCTACACAGCAAGAGTAGCAAATGCTACGGGCCCCGCGCCAAAGGGCCCCCGCATATTTAAATTTAAATAAATAAGAGTATTGAATTGGTTTTTTACTAATTTATATTGAGCACCTACTGCAGATAAAGGGCTGTTTGAAAGAATTTTCTACGGGCCCCGCGCTCACTTTATCCGGCACTGTTTCAAAGTTAGCTGCGCATTGAATGTTAAATAACAGTGTGTTTACTACTGCATCTTTTTTTGTTTTTTTTTATATGTGAGAAAGTGGCAAACAAGCTGGCGTTTCACTTGATGTTAAGTGATAACCGCCTACCCATGGATATTTGCAACACCCGTATTACAGATGCGTTGCCACCTCTTAATAATGTGGGCCCCGACTACCTCACTCACCAGACGAAACGCAGAAGTGCAACACTTCTACTTTACACCCGTCTTCTGTGTGGTCATGGTATTAACCCGGACGGACCTGCCCATTCGTGCAACAGTGAACACTGTTGCGTAGCCCTACCACCGTAAAAACGTATGGCTGGGTGCGGGCCTAGGATGTAGTAGCTTGAAATTGCTCAGTGCACGATAGATTCATAAAGATTTATAATACCCGCCGCACAAAAATACAACCAAAACACTATGTCATCATATTACTTCGATTTTGCGCTAAATGCAAGTATTTTTTTCTAAGATTTAGGTGGATTTTCTTAACGACCTTAACACCTTTCTATAAATATATAGCAATTTACACGTAATAAGTACTGTTGTGATCGAAAATGTAAGGTATTATTTATTTATTATTAAAATTCTTTTTTGGTTATTATTGAATCGTATGTTCTTACAGCCAATGTTCGGTACGTTACTTTAATGTTTTGGACCAAATTAAGTTAAAATTTTATATATAATCAATCTAACAAAAATATAGGTAAAGTATGTGTTAGCAATTATAATATAATTTGTTTATTTTGTTTTAGTAATCCCGATCCTAGTAACTTCGATTACAATATCTCCAAATGGAAACAGCCCTGCACTGAAATTGGTGGGTGGTATGGCTATTGAGCAACAAAAAGAGTTTGTTCCGTCAAAATCAGAAATAGAAAGGAGCACTATAAAGAAAAACATTGAAAAAAACAAAGTTACAAATATAAATTCGACTAAACTAGCCATTAATGAGAGGTACAGACGGTTAATACCGTATATGACGTTTTATTATGCTAACGATTTGGTACCGCCGACAACCGAGGCATATCAAGCAAAAAGCGTCCAAGTAGAAAAGTTGCAAATAGTTGAAGCTAGCACACTTGAAGGACAGCACCATCATAAGCCAAAATTTATATACTCGCAGAATCGTCAACATAATATTCCAAGATATCAAGGAAACCGTTTAACGCATTTCAATATAGCGTCAGCAAATCCTACAAAAGTATTCTATAACAAAGAAGGCTACCCAGTATTATTACAAAATGTACCTAAAGTACCATCAAATTTTAATTCCTTACTTTTAGACCACAATGTAGCAGAAAATCCGGTCAATGAGTACAGAAGGTTTATTCCGAAAGAACCCAAAGATTCAAACAACTCATATAGACCGAATAGAAAACCTTATATCAATGTTTATCATGATGTCGAAGATGTCCATGCACAGTTTTATCCTGAAAGAGAAGAAATAAAATATCAGCTAGTTCCGTATGAACAGACGCCTCCTATTAGAAACTTGCCAATAGGATTTGATAACGCCCCGAGGAAGTCTTACAATAATCCGGTGACGGTTCCCAACAACTCAGTATACATAAAGCCGAGACAACGCCCACAATATCACTATGACGAAGTTGCTCCTCAACCGATAAAAAACAAAAAACCACCAGTAACAATTTCCGAGAGTTATTATGAAAAGCAAAACAATATACCAGTTTTGACTCAGCCAGTAATTGAAACTGGTTTTAAACCTATAATTGCGCAAGCACCTGAATCAACAGTACCGCCCATGTATACTTCACCACCGACAGATTCAACACAACCGCATTTTGACAGCGAGAAAACTCAAGAAGCACAAATTGAAAGCGCGCCATTAGCCCCGGAAAATATTGAACAACCGGAATATTATCAATATGATCACCACCAGCCGACTCACGAACCGCAACTAGAAACTACTAACGCTATAACACTCGCAGACCTTTTAAATTCTTTACAACTTAATAAATCTATTCCAAAACCAATAACCAAAGAGAATGTAAGTTCCTCAATACGAATTTTACTGCAAGCATTGAATGCTTTGAAAGGTAAACTTCAACAAAACGACATTGAATCGCCAATACTTAGTTCGCCTGCTCCATTTGTGGCCCCAAAAACTACAATAGCCACGGAAAAGCCTTTACCTCCTCAAAATATACCTTCTTTAATCGAGGAAACAGATTTAAATGAGGAAAATTATTTAACAGATGTGGAAAATCCATCACAACATTTAGATGGTAATTATAAAAAATAAATCAATTAAAAATTAACAATATTACCGCACCATATTATAAGCAAGCTTTTGCTCTCGGCTTTACCTGCATGATATTTATTTTATAAAATATTACTTAGGACGTGACAAAATTTATGTTATATGTAAAATGTATTCTACTGTGTGACCCACAGATATGGTAGAGATGCTAACGCATGGTTTGACCAAAGTTCACGTTTGTAAAATTAGCAGAATATAAGAGAGAATGTTTTAAATATATTTTCAAATCTACAAGATCTGAGGTTGGCATGATTCATACAGAAGCTTCTTTTTTGTATGAACATACAAACACGTCAGTCATCTCTCACCAAACGAAACCTCTTTGTGATACACAATAAATTTGTCTTTTTCTCTCCCTTCGTAGCTATTTATCCCATATGGTAGCGGGGTAAGCTTTCTGATATTTAAAATAAGTATAATGTTCTTGACAATTGATTTTCAACGTGTAAATAATTAATTTGTTTTCAGATTATACAAGCGGTACCAGCCAACGGTTCCCTCTACCAATAACGTCTGATGAAGAAGGTGGTACACCAGGACGCCCAGGCATCGACTACCCCATTTTAACTATAATTCCTCACACCAAATTCGATTGCAAAACTCAAAGATATAAGGGCTTTTTCGCTGACCCCGAAACAAGATGTCAGGTATCACGTCAAAAAAACTATTTTAACATACCTTTTTGGAGAGACACTTCCTTGCGCGCAGTAGGAGAATAATGGTTCATAAGGTGAGGTAGGCACCGCAGCCGCAGGCAAGGTTGACTGCTGATCGCCCGTTCAAGCAATTAGTCATAGTGTAGTAGTTTATTGTGCTAACATTACTATTTCCGACTTGAGTTTTCGAAATCGAATGTCAACCATTTATCGTTTTTATAGATGTGTAGCATTTATGCACACCGTACGGAGTCACCAGATAGGAAACGATCATCTCTTACAGGATATTCGCAACAAGCAAACATGTATCGTCTCAACTATTTATACTTTAGAACCGCCGTGGATGATGTGGATGGCGGTGATAGTTAACATTTGCCACCTCCAGTTGAAAATAAACCCCCGGTAGTAGGTGCATCAAGATGTTGTTGACCTTTAAGACAAAAATAATCTTTTCATGAAGGTTATACAGCTATATCTGTACGTAAATACAAGAGAAAGTGATGAACAATCATAAAAAAATATCTTTTTTTAGGTCTGGCACTACTGTGATTTAAACGGAGGGCAGGCGTCTTTTCTGTGCCCAAACGGAACTATATTCTCTCAAGCTGCGCTTACATGTGACTGGTGGTTCAATGTTAAGTGTTCTTCAACCACTCAGCTTTACGTACTCAACGAAAGTCTGTATAAGTACATATTACCACATTCACCTAAATTCCCAGAGGACTATAGTGGGCCTTTAGTTGACAAGTAAGCATTTTAAAAAATATCCTATAACATTGTTTATTTTATGTTTATAAGTATTATTTTAAATAATTTTTCAGATATTTAACGCTAAAGTTTAAAGAAATGGAAGAAGAGTTTAAAAAAAACAAAAATAAACAAACGGGTTCAGAAAAACATGACAGTAGCGGCGATGAAAATTCCAGTGAAGATAATAACGCTGATAACAAAAGCTCCAAACCTCTGAAAGATGAAAAAAATAATGTGAATATTCATACGAATAAAGTCAGTCAATCCAGCGTTATTGTAGCAAGTTCTGGTGCCAGTGGAAATGTGGAAAGACTAGAAGAATAATTTTAATGGGACAAATGTAAATTTTTGATAGATCGACATATTCACACACTTATTGAGGCAAATAACTGTGATAGTGTAACTGTAATAACTTTGATAATGTTTAAGATAAATAATATTTAACAACTTTTCTCGATTGACTGTATGTCATAAAAGGCTGTTTGGTTGTGATTGTGGTGGGTGTTTTATTATCATTTGAGAAAATTCGATTTAGGTACTCATTTTTACTCACTATAAAGTTACCAAACCTTAAAGGTAAAAATTAAACTTGCCATACTTTGCCATGTTTAATTTGTATAATTTTACGTAAGCGTTATCAAGTTACAAGGAAGTATATTTCCGACCAGTGCGTTTTGCTTAACGTACTGTTAGGCCACCGTTCCGCTGTTATGCTTGTGAGTTATTTAATTGCTACATACGACATTAACACTAAAACATGGCATCGACTGTACCTATGTTTTCTCTTACTAGAAGTAGTTTTGATAAAATAATTCAATGATTGATGTTTGGTATTAGAAACAATATTTTAAGTCAATTTTTAAATGTTAGATATATTAGATAATACGGATACCTAAATATTTATTTACTAGCTGCTGACCGCGACTACTTCTTCGTAGAATAGGCTGAAAACGTAACATTCAGACAGATTAACCTTAATTTATAGTTATACATAAAAATATGTATATCTATAAATTAAGGTTTCATTAAAATCCATTCAGAAGTATTTGCGTGTAAGAGTTACAAACATCCATCCATACATACAAAATTTCGCGTTTATAATGTTAGTAAGGATGTGCCTAGGATAATTAATCAGGTACGGTTGATCTTATAATGACTGACATTTGGCTTATAGATGTAACTAATTGGCGTTCTTTAAACTTTCATAACGGAAATATTAAAATTTTGTTTAACCACAAGGAAAATTATCAAACGCATCATAACTGTAACATATATTTATACTTAACATACTTTTAGGCTCGGAATTTGTGATTATTGATGTACAACCGTTAATCACATATTTTGAAAAGTAAGAGGTACAAATACATCTAATCCAGTTTTTATTTTCATTTTTAAATTATCAATTTATTATAGAGCTGACTTTGCATTCCAATTACAGTTATTTTTTTTTAGTTTTCACCTAAATTTATTTATTAGGCATCAAGTACCTCTTTACTCCTTGATTATTGGATAACTTATGTGTATATGTATTTTTTATTGAAATATCTATTTTTCTTAATATTGTACAGTAAAATATTTTATATACTTTTGATGGTGGTTTCATTGGAGTTGTTTCTTTTGTGATATCAATTAACTTTTAGATCTTGAATTTTAATAAAATTTGACGGTCACATTACAATAAAGTGGTGGAAATAATAATAGCATCCCGAGTTATGTTCCATTAATTTATTTACAGCAGCAAATATTAGTTTCCTTAGATTATCAATTTATACTAGTACATTTTTTGATTTAAAGTCTCCAATATCTGTTAAAGTCATCATAACTAAGCTTCGAAAATATTATTTAAATAATTAAAATAAGTATTTGGGAAACAAGTGTCAACTATTTAATTACATTCTTAGATTGGGACTTAAAACACCAAGTAAATGAACTTATCGCTATTAAAGGGTAAGATAATCTGTTAATGAATGTATTTGCGAAAGAATGCAGTGAGAGACGTTATCTACCGTTATTTACATGTTAATGGTTGAATAAGTATGTTTTATACATTACTTATAATATATAGCGAAATGTTATTGGACCATTAAAAGCTAAACAGTATTTTTTGCAGACAATACTTATACAAAAATATAATTTTGGGATGAAATGATTCTTAAATGACACGTTTAAGGTTAATAAAAAACGTGCTATATATATGTTAGGTATACTTACTTTGACACGTAATTTCATTAAGGGAAAGTTACATGAATTTGGCCTATTTAGATTATAATTTACACTACATATCAGACCTAGTTCTCAATGTTACCATCAACCACAAGTTGTTGCCATCTCAGTCTTTAGTGTTACATGCCAATAAAACGGTCACGTGGCCAACATCAAATAGATTTACTACGTACAATTATAACTATACATAAAATATAACTTATACAAGCTTTGCTTTAATAATTTTGGTCACAAAACCATTAATTCTAAAGTTTATGCATGACAAATAAATGACATCAATAAATGAATGTAATTAAACTTAAATTAAGAATTATTTTTAAAACAACCATGAGATTTATCAAATGTATGATATTTTATTTTAATAAAATTTAAGACGTAAGAAAGTAGATCGTAAAATCCTTCTTTATAAATGTCTCAAATTCCACTTATCAATAGCTTAAGTAAGCTTTTGAAAATCTTAAGAGTTCATGTTATTTTACCCTGTTAGTTATAAACATATTGAATGTCGCACTTAACTAGAACAATAAATAATGCACGAAAACGTGCAATAAATTCATACTACTCATTTAATTACTCATGTAAAACATTATAACGACTTAAAAACAAGAAAACGTTTACATTTTAAGTGACTCAAACAAAAATATTGTGTGTGTGTGTGTGTGTGTGTGCATGTACATGTGTGTGTGTGTGTGTGTGTGCATGTACATGTGTGTGTGTGCATGTACATGTGTGTGTGTGTGTGTGTGTGTGTGTGTCATATCAGAGCAAGGTAGAGGTCGGGGGCCGTTTGTGTGTGCAATGTTTAATGTTTGAGCAGTAGAGCGGCGTGTTTCAGGCGCAGGTGTGCGCGCAGAGTGTCGATGCGGCTATAGGTGGCCGGGCAATAGGGGCAGATCGAGCGTTGGGCGGTGTGCGAATGGAAATGGTGCCAGCGGTTAGAGACCTCCTTGCCGCAGGACTTGCAGCGCCATAGGGCGGTGCTCTCGGCTGCCGCTACGAACATACTGTGGTACGAATACTGCGCAGTTGCCACCTGGGAGCGCTCTGCAACCAATGACCGTCACGCCTCGCTACAGGATGCACGTACGCGCAAATGCATTAGCTCTAATTCCAAGGCTTGGGGAACGGTATTAGAACATGTCTAATTTGCGTCTGTTTACCAATTGTATTTGCGTGTTAAAACTTGATTATGGTAAAATACTTTTTGATAAGAATCCAATGATTGCAAGTCGCCAAACCTTGGGCAATTTTTTCTTTATCTTGATATTTAAACTTCTGGAAGAATCTATACAACAGCAATACTTCTAGTTGGTTATATCTGATGAAAGTCTGGTACATGCACATTGCTACCATTACATGTGCCCCTCTAACTTGAAGTGTTGCTGCATCAAAATACACAGAATGACAGCGAGATGTGTCAAGCTGTCGGCCAAAGCCGACGTAGAAATGAGGATGGAGCGCGTGACACGCACAACTGAAACTACACGAATTGTAACATACCACAATTTAATGTAAAAATTAGTAATAAATACAACAGATAAATGCAGGAGTTTGCAACATGTTAAAATTGCATTACATAACATCAAACAATGTGAAATAAAAAAAAAATTGCATTAACTGATTGCATAAAACAAAAAAAATAATTAAATTATACTTTTAACGGAGGCATCAAACCAGGACACTTCAAAACATTACGTAAACAAGAAATTGCTCATAAAATTTCATGTAAAAATATAACAAGGCTGATTGACAGTTGTTAGGTACACGATTTGACACCCCCGGCCTATTAGTATTTATACTATTGTGATACACGACACTATAACGAATTTGCTAATGTTATAAAGAAGAAACAAAATAAACATAACTAGACCATTGCTATCCTGAAAGTAATCATAGAGCATATCCTGCACTCCATTGAATTTCAATTGATATAATCACGACCGCGTGATATAAAGGTAAAATTTTTATTATACAATAAATTGGAATATTCAATTAGATTGGCCAAACAAGTGACTAGGTCCACAGGACCTTATTCTCATAAGACTAAATTTAGTAATTCGTTAACCTTATGTGTAAATTCCATATGGCATAAAGTTAGCTTTCAATAAGTCCAATTACGTGGTCATCATATATTTATTAAGTTGCACACTTTCTGAAAGCTGAAAAGAGATCAAAGGGTGATATTTTCTGAGCCAAACGATGTGATACTCCAAAATATTCTGGCCAGACACTATCATAGTATCCTAACCTAAAATATCTAAAATAATATTCTATAGTACTAATGAATCGATTTGCTATAGCAAATTCAGTATTAAAAAATTGGTCTCGAGTGATTTACTATAAAAAAAAAATGCATTCACGATTAGATGAAGCGTTTGACGCAACGCCGGCGGAGTACACCGCCAGGCATCGAACCCGTACCGGATAGCTATGATCTATTCCAACAATAGACTTTAAATTGCGCGACAATAATAAATTATTAAACAGTACGTCACTATTACGATTGGCAGAGGTAAACAAGCTAATCCTTAATATTACCAGATATGAAACCTGTACAAAACCGTAGCCCAAACTGCATTCGCTAGGTAGAAATAGAAAATCAGAAGGTACTTCACTTATGTAAATACAAAAAAATGGTGATTAACCCTCCATCGAAGACATTCATTACTTTTAAAATATCCTTTAGTTTGGTTACGTTATTAAACAACTAGTAATATTGCACTGAGTATGAAATGCTATGAAATAATAAGCGCCCACGACATACGATCGATTGGTAAGGTATATAAAAATTCTTTATTATCACTAAAATAAATATAAAAAATCTTTGTGGAAGAAACGTTTGGTGATATTGTTTATCCTTACGGGACACAGGAGCTAAGTGCTTATATTTCAAGTGGGCCCCTATATTTTACAGGCAAAATGTATATCTAGTTATGAGTGACTATTAAAAAAAATTGCACAAGTGAAATTGCATGTTCACAGCTACGAAAACAGCGTAACGCCACAACTTAGAAAAAAAAAAAACGAAACGATCGCGAATCACATACTATTCGAATGCGATGCTCAAACGTGGAACTAACGTCTCTCCTTTTTGGTTGAGTAGTACTTGATATTCACAAACGGTGTCTTATGGGCCCTAAGTTAAGTTTATTCATAAGTCAATTTAAACGTCCGAAAGAACTAAGGTAAAAATCTCGAGTGATACTGTAATCTCTAGTTGTGTTACGACACACGCGTTATTACCCGTTGACCAGACAGATGCGACCTCAACTGGATGCTAGATGCCTTACAATAATGCAAAGTAACTAATCATTAAAACATTAACATTACAAATAGGAGTCGAATCGTAGCGTGTTAACACTCTTGGTTCTAGCACCATTCCATTTTATCACATTTCTGTTACCGTACCACTCTAAGTGTTTAGCTAAAAATGTAACAATCTTAAATCTTAATTGAAAATACATACATAAACGCTAGGTTAGTCCCAATCGTAGAATGCCAATATTAGTTACTAAATGCGCAAACTCGAACGTTCCACCCTACCTTAAAATAATGAAAAAAAAAAAAAAAAAAGGTCTTTGACCTAAAGCACCGTTCACGTGTGGGCTCTGGCGACCCGTTATGACAACTTAAAGTAAAAACATCTACCAACGATAAAATAATAAAACATGTTAACATCTCTAGTCGAGTTACATTTAACCGTCAACTGAATATAAACGAAATCGATCATGTTACTATATATGCTGAATCAATAAAAACAAACAACACTAATAAATCATATTACATAGTTATATAAATATAAAATTATATTAAATCAGACAATAGAATATATCTAAAGTATTAAAAAAAAAAACAATCTCCGTAAATAGATCAACTAGTCTAGTATAAAAAATCTTTTCGTATGTTTCCCTAGGCGCTATCCTTTAATACATCACAAATCCTTAATAATTATCCATCTTGCAAAGGCCTCATAGAGTTACAAATGCATCTACACTGAGATTCAGTCAATATTTATATGTCGTTGACCAACGACAGATCACATCTCTCTTGCCAGTCCTCATAAACCTGTTCCGTTGTCGTTCCGCACCACTAATAGGATATAATAACATAAATACAATTAGCTACAGGAAACTCATAATTTCCTATCTAACGAATAAATATAACAAGACAAAGAATGGCCCGTGCATGGGCAACCGTTAAATAGCCAGCATCACTTCGCGGTCGCACCGCTACTCAAATATAGTGTATACTCTTAAATAGCTTAAGACTTCTATCGATATAATATAAAAAATAATATGGTAATAAAATTAACATCATATTATTGCTTTTGCCCGTTCCCGTATAGCGATTGGTATAGAAAAAAATTTGCTTACCTACGTTACAAACGCTTCAAGTTATTTAAGCGACATCGACATAAAGGATATACGTTCCTCGCACGAAATCGTGTAACAAAAAAAAATCCCTTACGCGTTCTCATAAGAAAGGTCACACTGGGGCAAGTCAAATGCACAACCGAGACAATACTAAAAACGAGTCGCCCATCGCCGATGGGCGCGTTAAGAACTTAATCATCAATTAAGGCCCGCTTAAGTAATAGCACTTCAGCTTAATCCTAAATAGGAGAGTCGACGCGAGACGGTCCGTTAGAGTTCTACACAAGAGCCACGAGTGCGTGCTGAGTCCAGGGGTTCTGGCGCGGTCGGGTCGTTCACGGGGCGTCGAGGCCGAGCCAGTACAGGGACAATCAGTCGAAGCTCGCGTCCAGGTGGTTGGCGAAGAGCGGCGCGTGCGTGGCGTGGGGCGCGTGCGTGGGCGCGGGCGCCGCCGCCGGCTCGAACTTGCGCGTGTCCGGGTTGTACGCGGGGTGCTTGAACTTGCAGTGCGTGCGCAGGTTGTCCGAGCGGGTGTAGGTCGCGCGGCAGAGCGGGCACTCGAACCGCCCCGGGAAGTGCACGTGGTAGTGGTTGCGTATGTGCGTCACCACCTTCCCGCATAGCTTGCAGCGGTGCAGGTTGAGCGCGCCGGCGACCCGCTCGAACGTGAGCCGCATGTGCCAGCCCTTCGAGCCTGCAACCAGCGAGCGGTCACTCCCACCACAGCCCACAGCCCACAGCCCACCGCCGTCCGACGGTCGCGATACGATTATGAATGATTTACGTCGCCCGCCCTTTAGCGCGATGCCCGATGCCGCGCACGCGCATTCGGATTTCGTGGGGAAACAACGCAAAGGTTTCGGATAGTTCGAAAACAAAAAAAGAAAAATTAAAAAAAGAAAAAATATATATATATATATGACAGTAATGATAAAAATTCAAGTGAAATTTGTCAACAATGCGTTCTGTTATTATCATTCATAATCGCATACTGCTAACAGCGTTTTACGTTCTGTTGGCTCTGCAGCATATGTTCTGCATATCCTTCAGGTCTATCATGATTTTTAATAACCATTAAATTATAAGTACGATTATTTCTAAACAGTAGAACCTAGAATAGTCAACCTTAAAACGGTCTTCGTTTTTCAAAAGTTACTTAGACATTATAAACGATTGTGTCAAGTTTAACTTTTATAAAAAAAAAAAAAAAAACTACTATCGATTACAGAAACATTGTAAGGTTCTTCTCACATATTCTTTAAAGGTTAAAGAGTCAAAGTTCTACTGTATTTGGAAAAGAAAGTTAATTTAAAGGTCGACAATAGATTAGCACTAGTTTTTTAAAGCAGCGTCGAGATAATTTATAAATGCTATTAACTATGCTCTCCTAGCACTATTCTTAAAAGCGCTTATTGATGAAAAAGAAATTTCAATAATTACATAATTATTTTAACGGTACCTTCGAAACAATGTTACTCAATTAAAAAAAATTATAAACTTCAATAGATTCATGCAGAAATGAATCAATGGCGCCTGAAGAAATGGTGTTTGTTATTTGTCAGTGTTGTTATATTTGCATGACATGTTAATAGTTCACTTTCACCAAGCTGGTAACAGAATGCGATTTTTTTAGAAAGAGGTTTGCTATAAATAAAAGTAAGCATGGAAGAGGATGAAAATGAAAAGAAAAATAAGTATAAATAAAGGAATATATTTGCAACGAACACACAGTAACGATACTTACATATAAGTTAATTAGTAGTAAAAAAAAAAAGAAATAAATTATTATTAAAAATGGTGTCCTCCTAAATACATATTCAGTCTTGAACACTTCCGTTCGTAATATTTCATTAACATTTACTACAAGGAACAATAAGAGATCACATATCGCTGGTGCGTAAATGGGTAGGCCGGATGTCATTTTATTGTAAAACTTATGTCTAAAGTTTCATCGCCATAAAAAGCAGTTTCATATTTATTATGAAAATAGATGCAGAGATAAAATGATACCCATCCCTCTACTCACAGCTTGACTAAACTATTTTTAAATATAGCAAGATTTATATTCTGAGAAGCCTCAATTTTACATTATTACTGTAAAAAAAATATATATGATATAAATCACTTCAAGCTAGAAAAAAAATCAGTGTGTAAACATTATCATAATTTTGAAAATGATACTATATCTAGTGTATATAAAATTACAGTTTTGATTACTGTATCCCTTAAAATTTAAGAAAAGGGATGAGGAACATCAGAAAACAAGTCTAAAAAGAAATTTTAATTCCAAGCTTTTTCAATTCTATTAGTCATACACTTTTAATCCCTGTTGCTAGCTTATTGAGTGTTAGCATTTTAGACATTACAAACACAAAAAAGCAAAATCAACATTCAGTTTAAAAGAAAATAGCATTTTCATTGTTAATATAATCCTTAAACTATTACAGTGCTTGTTATGAGTTGTCAATAAGAAAGACGAAATAACACACCACACCTTATTTCTAATTACAATAATGGAAATAGACCTGTGAAAGCAATTTGAGTTATAATAAACAAGTATGTTAGTATTAAAGAATTTTTGGTTTCCATTCGACTTATAAATACTTCTTTGGAGCTTGATGAAAATTCATATACAAATTTCATGTTGTTTTGCATTTGTTGGGAGTTAAATTTGGTACAATAATGACGCCATAAAAGTATTTAATAATATGAAATAATATCAGAACTAAAGAGTAACGTTTTTTAAAAAGATCTAATTTGTTACACAAACATTTAATAATGCCCCTTTACTATTTGTGAAACATTACATTACAATCACAAAACACTCCTAAGTACTCAATATAAAACTAATAGTGAATCAAAAAATGTCTATTAATATTAGTGACCGAATTCAAATTGGTTAAGACGAAAATGGTGTATTCAACAAGTAGTTTGAATATTTGACAGGTTATCAGATCTTAAAACTGAACAATGTTTCATACGTAGATGCCTCTTTAAATTGTCGGCTCGTGTTAATATAATTGGACAAAGAGGGCATTTATGCTGTTCCGGATTATGGGATTTCATGTGCTTTTTGATGTTGCTTACATTTTTACCACATATGTTGCATGACATAGGAACACCGTAAGGTTTTTGATTGAATGCAATTTTGTAGGATTTCACTATATTCTCTATATTTGATAATTTGTGGCTGAACTGTTCCAGAGGCTTACTGTTTTCGTCAACGCCAAAGTTTTCACCTGTAAGATACGTAAGTTTTTCACTTCTAGTTTTGTTTCATCGCACGCCTTTGAATGAGTGTGTGCTGCTCTCATTATAACATTTTGCATAACAATAATTCAATCATTGCTTCATGCACCTCAACAATACAGTTACAACTCAAACCTAATAACAAAATTAACATTCTTTTTGCCCTAAGTTACAAAATAATTGTCCTAAATACAGTTTTGTTTCTCTCGAGACTCAACATGGACCTATTGAATTTTGGGAGCGCCAAATCATATCCAAAACCGTGTTGTTACCACACCGATTCCTTCATTGTTTAATAGAAAATATACTGAAGCCCAAAGAAATGAAATCGATAATAAGCGTTAAATGAATGGTCGGTGCAGATTAGGTAGAATGAGAAGCGATAGTATAAACATGCTGTCTGGTGTTAATAACATGCAGTTATTAAACAACGATTACGGAAAAACATGAAGGATGGAACCATTTAAGTTTCCATATCCTCAAAGCAGTTTAAAGCTGGCAACACATAAAATCCATTTAAATTTAAAATACCTGATGTGACACGAGGTATGTCAAAATAATGTACTAGTTCCATGTTGTTTTTTTTAACATAATGTTTACTTGTTCGTATCACATAAGGCCTCATGTTTAAGACGCCACACACTTAATATTTTGTAGTTTCTTAATCATTTTATCGTAAGAAATAAATGTAGTAAATTCCTCAAATAATTACTAGTTGTACATTAATGTCAATATTAAGTATGTGGACGTCACTTAGCGAATATGTACTTACCATCGATGGTGTCTGTTTGATCTGGATGAGGTTGCAGCATGGTTTCGTTCTCACTACACTCATTGCTGAGGGGATGTTGGGTTAACATAGATGCCATTTCGTTAACTCCCATTCCCTGAAATAACACAAGATTTATTTATGTATATTACGTAATTATACAACTTCAAATACCATACGATTAAATAGAACTGTAAAGGTTTTCTAGGTTGCTCTAAAACTATAAATATACACAATTATATATTTATGTTTTATTTATGCTGCGTTATTTGGTACGACTAACTTATTTGCAATTTTCAAATCAGCTGAATACTTAATCCGCAATGACGTACATTATTATCTCGTTATACGGATATCTTGATGTTCGCCGCTTCTTGTACATTTACGCCCTATGGTTTCATAAGCAGACCACTCGAGTGTCTCCGGTCCAATACACACCGTTTACGGTCACGGTACGGTTAAGTGGCTTGGATAAGGATAAAAAAATCAAGAAAAGCTAAAGAATATTAATAATGCTTATTAAGTACCCTAAACAACTAAGGATAACATTTTAATTACTGCCAGAGCCAGAGGATAAGTTGCATTTTACACTCATGCAGAGTTGGTAAGCAGAGACTATAGATTTATGTCCGCGACAGATGTAACAATTAGATATTTTTTTATTGTTAAATAAATCAAATTTACGGATTCTTTCGCGTTTCATATTGATTTTAATTCCCAAGGTTTCGAACCTTCAATCCAGGACAGACGGAAATCGGATACTTTCAAAGAAATTTATTTAGTAAACTTTCAATACCTAAATCAACATTTGAGCACTGGCCGTATAGCGATAATGATTAAAAAAAAGACTAGCAACTACTATTTAAATTAAGAGTAAATAAAAGAAAGAAAGCAACGAGGAGTTCATTCCTACGGCGTTCCATTTTCAAAACTGACCGGCAGGTGGGTCTGTTCGAACTGCGGGGGCGGGTGGAGGGGGGCGGCGTGCGGCGCGGGGTACGGCGAGTCCGGCTCCTGCTTCACGTGTGCCGCGTGCGTGGCGAGCGGCGCGTGGGGCGGGTGCGGCGCGTGCGGCGAGCGCGGCGTCAGCCGCTGCGGCGTGTGCGCCGGCGGCGGCGTCGACGGCTCCGAGCCGGAGCCCGTGGAGCCGCCCTTGACACCTTTCGCGTGCGACTGTACCCGCGGAGCAATTCCGTGAAATTAGTTTTTTAGGCGTTCCGTCCCGGGGTAAAACGGGACACTATTAATAGGACTCCGCTGTTTGTCAGGCAGTCTGCCACCACGTTGTGTCTCATGAACCGTGATAGTTATACAGTTGAAATTTTCACGGACAATGTATTTCTGTTGCCGCTATAACAAATACTAAAAAGCAGAATGAAAAAATATTTAAGTGGGGCATACAACAGACATGATTTTTTGCCATTATTATAGATAATGGTACCGTACCCTTCGTGCGCGAGTCCGACTCGCACTTGGTCAGTTTTTTTTTAATTCAAAAGCCGTTGCCTGCGCGACTGTACCCGCGGACCTATTCTAGCACATTAGTATTATAAAGTAAAAGTATATAGTAAAACCAGCCTGCTGTGGAATATTATTATTTATCTCGTTAACTATTTTTCTAATGACTATAATTCTTAATTCAAGCGGCGTTTGCATTGTGATAAGTTATCGAATATCGTTCGTTGAACCACATACAAACTTTGTAATAAACGTTTTGAAAATCGTAAACTGTACGGAAACATGTCTCAACAATTAGCGTTGTTATCGAGGAAATTTTCCAAACAGCGTATGGTAATTTATCTCGCTGGGAATAGATTTTTTATCTTGATAAACAACAGGGAATGTCCTTGACATCGTGCCTGTAGCTTATCAGGAGTATCTAAACCTAGATTTTGCAGACAATAAAACCTATTATTATACTTGTATAATAATAACTAAAGACACTTTTAAATGTAACTTGTCATCGGTTGCTTAGGACTGTGATATTCCAAAATGTAATGTACACTGTTCGCAGATTGGCATACATTTTAACAAGAAACCTCACCGCGTAATATTTATCTTCTTTTTATTATATGGACAATTTTATTAAATACCCTTTGTATTTTACAAAAAAAAAAAAAAAAGAAACCAATCACCTCGTAATGGCGGTAAGTGAGGTCGACGTCCTCGCGCGGCAGCGTCGAGTTCTTCCTGCGCCGCTTCTCGGGCACAGCGGGCACCGGCGGCGCGGCCAGCGGCGTGTTAGCGCCATGCGCCGCGGGCGGCGTCGCGAACTCCGCGCGCGACAGATTCTCCGCACTAGCCGACGGCGTCGACCGCCCCTCCGTCTGCGCCGAACGGGCACCCGTTACGCTACCACCACGCGCTCAGGTGTGTGAACACCTTAACAACGGGCAAACATTGCTCCCGCACGCACAGGTGTGCGCACACCTTAATAACGGGCACACAGCACACATTGCTCCCGCACGCTTTGGTGTGTGAACACATTACGAACGCGTCGACTGTTATGTTCTTTGGCGCGCTCTGATGTAAGAACTAGCCTAGGAACGGATCAACTGTTTCGCTCAACTGGATCGCTCTGATGTGTGATCACCGTACTACCAATCAATCTTCCGTTTTAAAAAGTTCAAAAATTCGATTTTAGCCTAGCGTTTTTTGGCGTTCTGTTAGAAAACAATATCGGCTATCTATACATAAAAACGTAGCCAACGACAAATTATATTATAAAAGGTTGACAAATTTGGGACGAGTAGTTTGCATAGATTTGCATTATTTGGGCATTAACATTTTACCGTTTTTATGATCATGTCATACTTTACTTTGGATATTGATAATGTTTTATTTTTAAAGGTCTACCACAGTATTTTTTAATGATAATACTTTTAATTAAACTTAACAGTCCCACTGTGTCATTAATGGATCCTATAAAATCTTATTGCATCAATCATTTTACTAATGGATAACAGAGAAAATGTAAATCATACCAAATTATATTATCGCAAAGCATTTTCTTTACTCGGATGCCTTTACGGTTTCTTTTATTTTGCAATTGATTGATTTCTTTTTAAAATAAAAAGAAATCAATTAATCTGTATACAATTAGAATAGAAGGAAGATTAGTTTTTAAATTGATATTATTAAGCAAATTTTATATAGATGTTTTTATTAACAAATCTTTCTACCCAAACTCACGTATTGTTAACAGGTTACTGGTTATTCATAAATTATTAATACTACATTTGTGAAGTGAATCCAATATGCAGGTTCATCTTGAAATTTGTTTAATTTTAATGCTTTAACATTTCACGTTAGGTTTGCAAATAAACTGGTTCGTGCAAACTAGTTCACAGAAAAGGGTGCACGTGTAGAAGACGCTCAACCCGTCAGGTTATCATTTGTCACAAATATCAAGGCCACGAGAAAATATAGCGCGACAAGAGAAAATTCTTTAATGCTCTTAGAAGTAATTCCTTAGAGGATCTAAAATTATTATTATAAGAATTTATTTATTTATTTAATTATAATTAAATAAAATTGTGTGCTACACAGCTATTAGGATGTAATGTTCTAAATTGATATAATATAATATTATATGTAAGAAGTAATGAGATCAGGTCAAGGGGCATTTATTTTACTTGAAAATAAATTAATAGCAAAACCAACAAATCATCTAAATAATAAAATCTAACATTTTTTCTGTCTATTCATCTAATCGTAATGAATTAGAATATTTAGTATTCATTAAAATGTAAAGTTGATATCTGTTTTATTATTATGTTATAAAAATAACATGAGTGTACAACACAGTGTGCATACCAGTTGAAAACTAATTTGTATTTATTTAAGAACAAGAAGTGTTAATAAAATTACGCACACACACATAGTAATAATATCTCCCTATGATTCCTTTATCCCTTATGAATTATTATAAATAAATAATAAAAAAAATTGTATTTACCTTGGGATTTAATGTATTGTTTTCTGTCAAACCTCTTACTTGTAAGCTTTCAGCAGTCTTTAGGAACATAGGTAGCATATTTTGGCCAACATTTACCTCACCCTGAAATATAAGCGATTATAAATCACATACCCACATTATTCATACCCCTAATTGAGATTAAAACGAAGCAGTCTAATTACCTTGTACATAAAATCCAAGAGCGACTTCATCTCTGATAACCGCACATCTTTTAAAAATATTATGGGATGTGGATGGGAGTTTTGCAAAAATATGCTTTCAAAATATGGAGAACATGCTGAAAGAATGGTCTGGTGTGCCTGAAACAAGGTTAACAATTTGTATATGAAAAATATTAAATACAAAATTAGCAAATATTATTATGAACTGTACAGAAAGATAAAAGCTATAAAGTATTGACCAAATTTAGACTGAGTAGTATTTTAAAGATAATGTAAGTATTAAAAATGTTTCATAAGTGTTAAGACCTAATAAGTAGACAAGGACATAGAAGAATACAGAAATTAAGCAATAATTATGTAAAGGCCTTGCTCTTTTATGTTAATTAGGAACTAAAAATTACCATTTCAGGAGCTCCATTATTATTAAAATTAGGTTGAATAATTTTTAAATTGTAATACATTGTTAAAACAAAATTGATTTGAAATAGTAAGAAATTTAATTAAATAATGTAAATAAAAGAGGAACAATGTTATTTCTAACAATCTAAATCAACAGTGCTAACTTTTATGCTACCGTGAGTGGCTAAAAATATACACAAAATTGGTGGACCCTACAACCAGACAAACAAGTGCTATAAAAATTAGAAAGTTAAAGACAGAAGAGCTGCATTTCTGCAGACTACCTAACACACAGACAGTGAATAGCACTGTCGACCTACAAAGTAAATTGCATTTTATTAGCATAAAACTTTAAACTTTCAAAATTTTGAATTTTAATGAATTGAAGGAATCATATATTACAAAGTGATAGCAACCTTATAGATATAACACTAGAGAAAGTACTTAATTGTAGTTATTGAATATGCAAAATGGACACAATGAAATTTTATTATTGAAGTTCAACCTAGTTTTTAGTTTGTAACTTTAATATAAAAATAAAATATATTAATTTTATACAAAAAAATATGAATAGAAATTTTTATGTCTTCCAATGGCAAACTGCCTTGATAAATTTGTAAGCAATAAAAAATATTTTATTCAAGAGAACTTCTCTAGGTTTTCAGTTATTCTCCTTGAAAAATATTCAGCCCAAATATTTTATGCAAATTTAATTCATGATTTTAAGAGGACTCAACATAAAAACAATTTGAGTTAGAATAACCTTGCAGAATTAGCAAATATTTGAATATATACAATGTGGTCTGCCTTGATTTGATGGCTAATATAAAGACAAAATTAGAGGTGATTATGATATGTTATAAGGTTGCAGATTTCACCAATTGAAAATTCAAATTTATTTTATATGGAGACTTAAGGAAACATTTCATAATAAACAAAATTGTAAGTTTAATTAGTTAATCATCAAAAGTAATTTCCATGATTCATAATTATTATGAATTAACAGATTAAATGTAAACTGTATTCTATACATGCATATTGTCTGTTACTCAACTTTGTTTACTATTGTATGCAATTTGTTATGACATAATAAACAGCTGTTCAAACATGTCAACATAATATATTTAGTTCATGAATGCCATGCCATATATCAACATGTTCTTTATAAATATATGTTTTACGCAATAATTAATAAATAATTAAAGGAAAATAAACATCAAACATATTTTTACCTTGAACTCTTGTGTACTTTTGGGATCTAGGAGTTTTTTAACTCATTGTAAATAATTATATTTCTATTACCTTAACTGTCTCCCCATCGCAGGCAAGTGTGACATCACAGAGCGCTTCACGCTGGAGCAGGCTTGCAAGCACATCAGTCAGATTGGTTGGATGGTTGTTCCAGCGTAAACAGAATTGCTGGTCCATTGTAGGTGCTAATGTCAGTGACCGTGCTGTAATTAGGCACATAAAATAATTAACACACACATGGGTTTAAACAGTTAACAAATTGATTTTAAACTTAAAAATATTTTAAATATATTTATGAATAAAATATCTGAAATGTTATACGTTTTTATCACATATACCTTGCAAATATTTATTTCTCTAGGTAATTAGACACGTGAGTTATCAAAAATTCATTAAACCACTATGCAAAAAAATTGCGGCCATAGGGCTTAGATAGTAGAGCGCAGAGATAAGTGACATCAGCGGCTCGAATTAATAGGGGCCGCGGGCAGCAAGCTTACTGTACTCAACATTGACAGTTAGCCCGCCGACACATATCTACTTGTTGCATGCTCCAAGCGAGACCCCTACATTATGTAATTTAACTCCAGAAGACACACGGCGGGGCCACCGACCCTACGGGACGCGAAAACCACTAGCCGTCTCTATAAAACGAGTTTAGAAAAGTAGTACCGCTGGCCAAAAAAATCGCAACATGCTGACACCGTTATAATCGCCAAGCTGGATGTGCCAGTTGCTATTCAAACGCGTGGTTTCAGGAATTTGCAAATGCACCATTATTGCCGTTGTCACAGAACATCACGCATGCCTTGAATTTGACGATCGAAGGACGAACGGGATTTCTAAACGCGTAGTTGTGTCAACTTTGGCTATTCGTAGCGCCATTTGCCGATCCCGTATCTCAGAATTTTAAAATTATCAACCATAAACGAAATTTTCTCTAACACACAATTAATTCACCAGCACAATACAAAATAAACTTCTAGTCTCACAAAGTCAATAATTACTCACTCACCATTTGCAAAATTTTTGCCATCACAAACGCCACCCGACCCCTACCTTGCACTGTCTTTTTGACCACACACACATCTCGATTTCCGTGTTCACTCACGGCACCTCACGGCCTTCGGAATATCTTTCACATCATAATCGGCCAGTATTCGCAACGCGAACTTCATACGTTTCTAAGCGAGGCGCTAAATTTAAATTTTGCAATTCAAGTTTATACTAGTTACATTTATGTTAGAGTCTTGCATGTATTATCTTATTTGGTGTATTTGAAATCATAATTTTTATTTTTATGAAGATAATTACCTGTACACATTTTGTAAACCATTCCTAACAATTATTATTTGCAAAATCCATAGATACAGAAATGAGGTTATGTCGAGCAAAATAGTAATTTTGGGATTAAATTTGTTTATATTTTAGATCTTTGTTAAATATGATTGAACAATTATATTTTATTACGGAACAAAAGTTAATAATTGTAATAATAAACAATGTTATAATTTGCCATTGGCCTTGACATTTTTGTTATCACAATTTCGCACGACTTGCTTTACTAGCGCCATCTATTGACGCTTATAAGCATCTAAAAATCAGTTTCGAGTAGGAGTGATATTCACAGTGTACATTTGTATGTAATATTATTAAAGAGATGGCGCTTTAAATGATTGCACGCACTATTAGTTTCTCATTCATAGGACAATGACCTTGCGAACACGAGATTTTGCACGTCTAGTTCACTTTTTCAAACCTTTTCATATTAATTATCTTGTGGCATTTAAACGTAAGGAGAAACACATTTTCATAAATTTAAAAACTTTGTATGCCCTATTGTGATTTATAGTATATTTCAATGGCAAATGACACAAGTACATTTTTATTAATAAAAAAAACATATCACTACCTTTTCTAATTCATTTTTGGTAGTTCCTAATGTATCTTCGAAATCCATCAATGTAATTAATATGAGATCACATGAAAGCAATATTTTCAAACAAAATTAATTAATTTGAGAATATTTTAAAAATATGCTGATTGCTACAATCCAACGGCAGCCTGCTAGGATACCTATCGGCAAAGTTAAGATGGCAAAATCTTCAATACAAGCTAATTTAGTTCTTCCTATGAATAGTGCTAATTTGGTTAATAAAAAGTTGTTAAACCTACACAACAACCTACTTTATCAGGTGTTATTTACGTATACTTATTTTAGTAAAATCTTGTAAATGTAAACTTATATTTCTTTTTGTGGCAGCTCATGGCTCATGGAATTAAATTAAAAAGCATGATTTTGATGATGTGTGCATTTCTCTGTCGACGTGAATTCTTACTAGTCTTTGTATCCGTAGGTATCTATCGTGCGTGCCAATTTATGAATTTAGAAATGTGTAACGAATTGTGCGCCTACATACAACGAGACGCGCGACCTCATAATCGTGAGTAGGTTATTGAACTTGGCAATAAATCAGTGATTTAGTTTATCGTGGTCCTGTAGAGTAACGAATATATACAATACGACTAAGGCAAATATTTGTGCCCATATCACCTCATTATGTTTTCGGTGCGCTTTTTTTCTGTAAGACTGAATTGATACTATTACTTATATGCTGTACAAATACAAATACTTTATACAGAAAAGACTTTCGTGTGATTATTTTCCACACTGAGTAAATGACCTTCCGGTCATCTTTGATTATAGAATTATCAATACGTGACAAGTATACATATAGTCAAAGCCTATCATTAATAATCAAAATTGGAGGAAAAACCAGATTCGAATCTGAAAGTCATAAAAGCTCCGTAAGGAAAAAGAATTCGCCAAACAACTGTGCTAATGAAAAAAATTTTCGTTTTCACTGTTTGTTTTTAATTTCTTATTGAGGGATGATTATAAGAAAGGGATGAATTATGATTCGGTAATAGTTATTAACATAGACGTATATAGCGGGGGGGGGGGGGGGGGGGATGGGCCGTGCCCACCCCAGTATGGTCTAGTGCCCACCCCAGGATTTTGGGTTACCGATTCGAAATTCTAGGCTGGACACCTATTCTTCATCGCCAAAAGCAGATTGAAGCCGAGCGAGGCGAGTGAGGTGCAATGTAGATATTGAATTTCTCGAAATTTCTCTACTATAACATGCATATATATGCTTTTTTTTATTTATTTTTTAAAAACATTGCCCTCATTTTAGGATAATTTATTATCCTGTGTTGTAGAGACGTTTTACAAACATAAATTGCACGAGGACAAACATCCAGATGCAAAACAACTATCTGTGGGTCGCACAAATAGTTGTCCCGTGTGGGAATCGAACCCACGACTTCCGACGTATGATTAAATATCAGTAAACATGTAAACCTTCCACTTGAATAATATCTATTGCTGAAAATCGCATTAAAATTCGTTGTGTTGTTTAACAGTTCTACAGTGTTCGATTTTTTTTGCAGTAAGGGCCCAGGCTACCCTGAAAAATAGCCCTAGATACGCCAATAGTTATTAATTATTTGTTATATTGAAACGTGTGCGTTTTTTATTAAAATTATAAATGGTAATTATCAGATTGTTAGACACTAACTAATAAATTCAAAGTAGAGAATTAGTAGAAATAATAGCTTTTGCAGGGTGGTGAGTTCCCACATCCGTTATTTCAATCACTTGGATTTCGGTGTGAAAGTTTTAATAAAAGTAAAAGAAAAGATATCACTTAATAAAAATGACGTACAGATGTTGTTTGTCCTAAGATAATAAGATTATTACATCTTAGAACAGATGATACAAGTCAATATTTTTATAAACGAAAAACAAAACCGACTTCAAATATCTCGCTCTGTATTCATTTTATAATTGATTTTCAGGAGTTCCCTACGTATCCCCGGAGCCCAAGATTCATAACTAATATGACAATGAAATTAACAGGGGATCGCATGGGAAGCGCCAGCTTTCAAATGAAAAAATAATCATGAAAATCGGTTCACTCAGTCGAAAGTTCTGAGGTAACAAACATAAAAAAATAAAATCGAATTGAGAACCTCTTCCGTTTTTGAAAATTAAACCGAAGGGGTAGGAGGATGAATCGAAGTAATGGCTTGATCGAATTATGAGCAACCTAAATAGTTTCTGATCATAATTACCGAAATTGATTTAAGGACATGAAATGATTTATAATAAAAGTGAAAGTGATTTTTTTATTTCACCTATATGAATTAGCTAATCGAATAACTATTTGCAATGGGTACATAACTATTTAGAAATATATATTTGATATTATCAACAGCCCGTGACATATGAAACAAAAAATGTCTTTATGTACACGAGCATATTTGATAGTAGAAATATTTAAGAGAATATGCTTTTGTAGATATTAGAAAAAATACACAAGTGTAAGCTAAGGTATCCTTGCAATCTAATGGAACATTTTGCAAGTCCTTTTAATATAGACCATATTGACGTCAGAATTGAAGGTCACTCGTAATTTTAATAATAGATTATTAGAAGAGATCTATGGAAAAGTGGTGCCTAATAAAGTTGGATACGAGTTTGAAATATTTAATATATAATATTTTTACCTTCCGCCTTTTGTAATCCTTTTTTAAGGTTTTGGAATAAAGCATAAATAAATAAATGTTTGAACTTTATTAAAAATAGATTCACTTACTTCAAATAATTGTTATTGTTAAAATTAAATTTTTCTAAAGTTGGTAAACTGGTATAGGTAAAAAAACAATTTTGCCTGTCTTAAAATCGAAGGCATTCGGTGGAGGCTTAGAATATTTTTTTTAGGTCAATGATTGAATAAAAGAAATTGATTGAAAACAATCTTATAGATAATAGAACTTTGTTAATCTTTATCATTATAAGCTAATAGTCCAAAATATTATTTCACAGTCTTTCGTACTTGACATGTTTTACTTTTTACTTTTTACTATAATGTTTGTTTGTATGTATGGATGGATGTTTGTTACTCTTTCACGCAAAAACTACTGAATGGATTTTAATGAAACTTTACAATAATATTGATAAGACATCAGAATAACACGAATTAAATATTATACGAATTGTCCAAAATATGACGGTAAGTGTCAAGTAAATAGGAAAAAATTCTGCCATCTGTGAGCTAATCAGGTGTTTAATAAAAAAGTCATTGTTAATTCCCTTTGACCGTGCACGC